TATCTTGTTCGTTCAAACCCATTGTAATGGATGATGCGCTTACAGTATGAATAAATACATAAATAATTCCAAAAGGTCTAAGCAGCAACAAGTGAATAAAAAGTTTTAAGCTAACAACGACACTCTTGGCAGTTTTAAACCAAACATGTTTCGGTAGGTTCRACTGCCATCATCAGTGATGGTAAAGTATAGTGAGATTAAAATATATATAGCAGAGAACAATAGGTGATAGACTAATGAACTAATGTGAGGTTAACATGATGTACTTGTTGGATAAGTGTTGGTTTAAGCCATTGCATATGTAATGCTTCCTTGATTTTTAACGTGTATCTAGAAGACGCTTGGTGAACGATGGAAAATCACTCCCTAGAGCATGAGTGCGTGAACACATTCACTCAGTTAAAGGATATTCAAACGCATCAGAAGCATGCTGCAATGCTTGCTCTAGGGAGTCATTTTCCATCATTATTATATAGACAAATTCACAAACGAAAACTTGTTGAAAATATTGGAAAAGACGTGTCATCGATATCTTCACTAGTGAGGAGATGGAAAATATGTCACTGAGGTCCCGGATGTAGTTCGTATCAAAAATACGAGTGGTGTATTTCCCAGTAAAACACTAATGTCAATGTAATAAATTAAGTTATAATAATAATGGGAGGTTCTTATATAGCGCATTTATACTACTTCTCAAAGCGCGTAATGAATAGAGGATATTACATGGGCGCGCGGAGATACGAATTTTATATTCGAGTGTTCAATTGATATCTCACGAGTGAGCGCAGATCTCCAAGCGGCCATGTAATGTTATGTTTATTATATAGATATCGATGAAACTTAAATAAAACAAAAGCTCAAAAATTCTTTATCAAAATAGCAAGCCGATTCAACAGCGATATCTTCACGTGTGAAAGATATGGTATCTTCCACTGGTGAAAGATATCAAGTTTTCGACTCTAGAGAAAACCTGGTATTTCATCGATATCTATATAATAAGATACAATTACCATATAATTATCCATAAAATACCTATATTTCTCCTTTTCGAAAAACTGATATTT